ATGGGATCATCACTGTTGGCTATTTAAGCTGGTTGAGTTCATAGTTATTTTCATTTTCAAGACTAATATTTGGATTTTCCACATCGATGACATTTTTGGGATCCTGAAAGCTAGTGGCATAGAAAGCTTATCTCAGTTCATGAATTAAACAGAAGAAGGAGTTCAATTTACAAAGGTAGGAGAAGCAATAAAATTCCTTTCTGAAGCATGTTCATAGACAGGACTCGTGAAGAAATCACTACAGAATGACTCACAAAAAAGGTGAAATCCGTTATCAAACGAAATTGGAAGGAATATAATTTAGAAAATCAACAACAAGGATTGTTTATAAAGTCAATCTGACCAGTCTAGACACCAGATTACCCTGTGAATCCATTAACATTAGTCGGCTGTTAAGAGATACTATAAATCATCCTTGGTTTCATTAGGGGTAGATTATTACAATAATAATTTTAATAAGAGGAACTGTAGAGGTGTCACAACAAGGCAACTCAAAAGGGTTAAGAGAATTTTCAAAAGTTTGACTTTCATGTGCAATGGTAATCAACGAACCAACACCTAACTTACGCATAAGGATACTAGCCGAAAACTGACCGAGCAAATTTAAGCAGAATTATAATAGACGAAAAAACAACTGAGCTACAACAAAGGTTCTTTACCAGTGTGACCTAACAAAACTTCAGTTAAAGTGATGAATGTTTAGCAAAAATATCTTTCTTACTATTTGTAGAATTAGGCAGAATCTAAAGTTTATGAAAACACTATCTTGAACTGCAGGTGAACTCTTAGCACTTCTCACTTTATAAACTTACTGCTGATGTTGTTGACAAACATCCCGATGAAATGACTATAATTTGAAATATCCAAACTCAGAAAATGCAGAAGGATTTCCATCATGTAACCTAGAATTCAGGAAGTAAGAGGAAGAATGTGTAAGGTTTTAAGATCCGTTTAGCTTGGCTCTTTCTCTGCCATTATCGATTGGTCATTCCATTTACTATAGGATGCATACTAGATGTGTCATAAAAGATAAAAACTATAAAATAAACTACTTCCGGTGTTCTGTTTATCAGATCACTAACCTTTAATACTTTCGATAAAAATATCGTCTGTTCGATTAATCAACTTAGTTATGTTTCTTTGCATCTAGGCAAAATAAATTGAGCAAAACAACTTGAATACCTTTCAAGTGAATTTGTTGAAGTGTATAAACTCTTAAGGGAATACTATAGTTTAATAAGAAGTTACTCTGAAAGATAAGGTTAGGAATTTTACCTTCAGAACCCATTATTTATGGTCATATATCATCTTACTCTGCTCATTTAGTTGCTTTCTGAAGGATTATAGAGGAGGGGAATAGAATTCACTACTATTTTTAAAAATTCCAATCAGTTTTTAAAATAAGAGCAGATGAAGTTTTCTTAATGCAATAAAAGTTTTACACCTGACTAAACCCCCTTCATTTTACAGATGTTATGTATATCATGCAAACAGAATAAGCGTTAAACACCTAACTCATTTAATATGAGAGTTAAACCTAGGCTATGTAATAAAATGTAATTCCATTCCAGTTGATTTATTAGATGGAATAACGCATTTGTCGTGTATTGTAGATCATAGTAATTCATTGATGACTTCAGAGAGGTCTCTTTTTTCCTTTGAGTTTTTATCAAGAATCTAGAATCTACCAATTTTTTTCATGAAGCTACTTAAAGAGACATCAGTTAAGAACATCTCTTTGCAGAGCAACATCAGGTGAACTGTTACAATACTGGAAGGAGTGACTGTAGAATTGATGAGTTCCGCCAATTCAAAAAGGATGATGAGCTGTTTAGCTTCGAAATTATGTGCAATTTTCCTATACAGTACAGTATATAGTACATTTTTAAAAAATCTATAGTTCAAATCTTTCTGAACAAGCTCTAATTTATCCTTTTATTATTGTTAGTTGGTTTTCATACGTTTTTTTTTTCTTTAAAGCCTGATAAGATAACAGTGATTTCAGTAGTCCCATTATTCTCAAGTCTTCTTCAGTTGGTGAATTCAAAATAAGCCGGAACGTGCATTTTGAAATCCATTACCAAGTAAGCACGCTTGGTATGGAGAATTGAAAAGTAATTTAATGAGTTTATTGACTACCGCTAGAGTTAGGTTTCGATATAAAAATAACTGGAAACCTGGGAGCACAGGAGAGCTGTTTCGTCCTAATATGGAACTCCTTAGCAGTACAAACTCATGGCCCCGTCAGGAACACAACCCAACCCCCACAAACCTCTAAGTTCGATTGATCTAGTGTTGATTGGTGACTTCCTTTGAGAGGTGATTGCTGAAGTTTGAGTGAGAAATCGTAACCGGTGGGGTAAACCTGATGGACGTCAGGGCAGATACTCAACGATGATAATGAATGATGGTCGCACTGTGTTGCGAACTGACAGAAGTTGGAAATATGGACCACTGAATTCCGACCCACTGACTAGAGGGTAACCTGCTGGCAGTGGAACACGAAGTTCCTTGGTTCGACGCTGCTCGGTGGGGTCATTGGTACGTACTGTTGAGAAGTCCCATACTAGGACGAAACACTTGCCTCGTGCTCCCAGGTTTTCAGTGTTCCTCCAACTGATATCTGCCCATGATAAAATACTAAGTTGAAAAATCCCTGATTCCCTACAAACTCCCAAATTTAAAAAATAACTGTTTAACATGTGAGAAGGATTGAAAAGTCTTGAAGAAGTTTGACTGAACACTCTTCATTTGATATATGGTATACTATTTTCATAAAAATTCGGTGATTTGAGTGTTTCTGATTTCGTGTGACCTCCAAAATGACAGACAGTTTGTGACTGTTTGCACAGTCATATCCTCATGGTGTATTTCTTCTTTAAATCAACAAATGTGTATGGTGGTCTGCTTGAGCATTGAGCTACCGAAAATATTTCATAAAATTCCTCCCTTTCAATTTATTTTAGTCTTTTGACAATGTCTTCTAAGCGTATCATGCACTCTAGTACATTTTTAAGATTTTTTCAACAGTCCATTTTTCAACGAAACCAAAAAAACTTCAAGGTAGGTGGGAAAAAACTTTTAAATCTACAAAAATACATCATATAACTATCCCTAGTAGACTTGTATTGTATATTCTTGTACTGGCTAAATAAACACCTACCGGCAACAACAACAAACTTACGAGTGGTTTTCTGGACATTTCCTATTCCAGACCAGACGGTAGTCTAACACCAACTGGCGGTTTCACATTACTGCATTTAATACTACTATTATTAACATCATTCAGATGAAATGATCATTTCTTTGAAAGATATTATAAAGGCAGTGAATAGTCATAATAGTACCCTGAAAGAATATTTCCTCGAGGGTGGTGTGTGTTTTATCAGTCACTAATGTGGAAACGACGTAATGTGTTATCGATGCAACAGCACCTGGTACTAAAAGTATGACCAAACACTCACCGGCATCTTAAACAACGCATAATAGTCCTCCCTAATCCCAAAGGCTAATGTGTAAACCTTAACTATTGCTTCCTTAAAGTTTTTCCTAAATATACAATAATTTCCAATTAGACTGACTACATATATTATACATCCAAATGACACGGCTTAACAAAGTTGTTGTAGGAGTCCTGATTATATTAATTTGAAACGGCATTTGCCGAAAGAATGGGTGAAATACGAGGCTGACTGATAGCATTTATATTATAAAGTAATAGTTTTTACCAAAAAAATAGGTCCTGTAATTTGAACAAAAAGCAGCTGACTGGAATATTAGTAGGGTGTCAATCAAAAAATGTGTATTTCCAAGTTCTTTACACTTGAATAACGCAATGTGTAGATGTTTTTACAAAATCCGTGACAATACGTTTGAGACCAACATATGTATAAATTCTGAAACCTCAGAAAATGTCAGTGTTTTCATACGGCTCCCATGCATTAAAAATAAAGAGATAAAATCACAAAAGTATAGCTTAGAATTAGTTATAAATGAAAGAAAATCTATTATGAAGAAAGGTAGAAGAATAGGAATGGAATTGAACAGTCACTTGCTCCTCTGTGAAGTAGGCGATAAGCCATACTCGTTATGTACAGGTTGATGATGTCAGCTGGCCATCCAGATTACAGTGGCTTGAGTGGGATTTGAACTCACGACGCTGTAGTTGGAAGTTGACTGCTCAGAAGGATAAGTAACAGTCCTAAAAACTGACTTTTTGAAAAAATGGTGGTTGTAAGTTATTTCATGCCACACACATTTATACACATTGATTTGTAACTACAGAGGAACTAATTTCATTTTATCTAGTAATATATGCTGACCAAAACCTATTTATTTTTAAATTAAGTTTGTAGGGATTGACTAATCTCCAGGTAGCACACGTCACAAAGTGACAACAGTAGGAGAGGTATTGAGAACCTGGGAGCGAAGAACATGTGCTCAGTTCTAGTATGGGACTGCTTAGTGCTGTTACTTGGTAATGAAGTGCCCTGAGCTGAATTTCCCGAAGTTCTAATAAGAAACTGTGGCCTTTGGAGTCAGACATATTGGGTTTGAGGACGAATACTCCTCTAAGACACAGGCTAATGGTCGCACTGTATCATGAATTGGCAGAAGCATATTCCAGCTTAGTGGTCCAATGGTAACGTGCTTCTCGTGAGATGTAACGGTTATAGGCTAAATACTCAGTGAGGTCCAGGGTGTACACTGCTGAAGAGTCCCATACTGAGACGAAACAGCCATCCAGTGATCTCAGGCTTTCGTTGGTTCTCCAAATGATCTTATTCCATGGTGAATACTACCTTGAAGTCTATTGATTATATCCGCAGCGTGGTAACCAAGCTGAAAGATTCACCATAGCAATGTACTTCTAAGCGATGTAAGTTGGTTAGAGGCAACTACTTCATAAATTATTTTATTTTATCTCGTAGAATAAATACTTCCTATTGCTACATATATTTAATTATCCCCTTTAATGATTATTTGATTTGAATTAACAGTATCATCGGCAGGAACAAAAATCATACTTTACCGCTTCCGTGGATACTGAGCAACAAGCTTATCATAATTATTGCAATACACTACTATACTTCAATTCAGCCTTCACTGTCATGTTTTCTATAGAGTGTATGCTAAAAATTATGGCATTTGGACCAAAGGTAAGTTATTCACTCTAGACTGAGATTTCTGTATAGGAAATTAAAAAATATTTTACTATGGATTCTATTAATGTCTAACTGTTGTTAACTCGTCAAGCTCATATATTCTGAAAGGTGAACAAAAATTGTAACATTCTACATTTAATTCACTTGACAAATTTAAACAATACAAGAACAAAAACATTTGCATAACAAAGTGAGCTCATTTTACTTAACGGTCATTCATCGTCTATAAACGTCCTACAATAGAATTGAAGTGTGAGTAGTAATGATGACATAACATACCTTAAATATGTAGAAACAAATAAAGATTTGAAAACCAAGAGTAATAATCAGGCAGTGAGTCAAGGAAACACGAGATTAATGGTCAAAAATCTTGGTTAAAATCAAAGGTAATTTATAATTGATGAGGCAGAAGATTCTGAAGCTGTAGAAAGTTGGAGACAACAAACAACCAAGAGAGTAAAAGAAGAGGTTGTCAAAGAGCTAGTAGGCTACGCAATTACATTCAAAAACTGAAAAACATGTCAGGTTAGGTGGTTTAAAGTCAATAAGTAATTAACGAACATACTGGTCAAGGAACCTGAAGTTCTTCAGTTCGATCCTTGATGGGGTCATGGATACACACTGTTGAAGAGTTCCATACTAGAACGAAACAAATGTCCAGTGTTCCCAGGCCTCCATTATTTATCTAACTGATGACAATCCATGATGACTACCAATCTGAAATCAATAAATCCCCACAAACCTCCAAACTGAATTACTGAGCAGATTATGCAGTCAAAGATTTATGATTATTAATCCAATGTTTCTTTGACTCGCTACCTTATTGTTAATCCTGGATTTCAAATCTTCAGTTATTTATACATATTTAGAGGTATTTTATGCCATTATTACTACAACTAATAATTCGTCCCGATCGTGGGTTGTTTGCAGCTGATGAAATGCCATAAAATAGAATCAGCTCATTTTTTTCTGCAACTGTGTTTGTTCTTAGATTGTTGAAAATTTGTAATGGCCTAAAAATCTCTGATATAGATTCGTGAACAAAGTGGCGTTCAATCTTCGCCTTTCACAAGGAATAAAAAGAATTGATGTAGAGGATTTTAAAGAAATTTTGATAATCGATGTCTAGTCCAACAATATAATAGAAGTACTTCTAAAACATTGAAATTTCCAGTATTCGTCATGGACTGATATTGTTTGAGGAACTATTGAAAATCTGGGAGCACTGAACAGATATTCAGTCTTACTATGACACTCTCAAGTAGTATGTACCTACGACTCATCCAGAGGTCAAACTCATTTTTCTACTTCTGTCAGTTCGTGATTTAAAATTAGAAAACTGCATATGTGCATACTGTTGAGGAATATTGAAGTAGAATGAAACAGTCGTCCAATAGCAGCAAGTCTTCATAGGGTTCCCTAACAAACCTCGATATCGAAACTGATTTCGATCATGCTATAAAAATGTTTAAATTTACCAAGTAATTTGAATTAAAGAAAAATTTGGGAGTGCTATAAATACTGTCACCTATCTGTAATGTTGATGCCGGTGAAAAAAATCAACAGAAAGACCAGTTTACAAACCACTCTATAGCTGTAGATAAAAACGTTATTTATTTTTCTACTTCATTGAGATTTTACGAAATATATTTCATTTATAGTTATGATTCAAGTCGCCAAACTTCACAATACCACAGAAGCAGAAGGCCAATGAAAGTCAGAAATTTAATGGTAGAATTTGAGCACTACAGTCGGGCTTTTTTATTGTCAACCAGATGATTCCTTTAAACCTATCAGACAGAAAAATGTATTCTCCGAAATAGAACAAAAGAAAGTCAAACAGAGAATGGTACACTTCAGAAAAATAAGAAACCTAGAATAGAGATCAGTTTTATGTGGTTACATCCCGTTATGAAAATGAGTTCAATAGAACGAAAGTTGAGTGGAGAGAGAGAGAGAGATAGAATGATGACTGGAGCTTTGTTTATCGAGACTATACTTAACATAAGCATAATAATTACTTAAAATCGATTCCAAGTAGCAATGAAGTAGTAATTTCCCGTTTATTATATAGGGCCGAATTCCTCGACCTTTGTCGTCAGATGAGCTCTTATGAGGGTGCCTCTATACTGCCGGATATTCACGATGTTACATTGACCTCGGTGACTATGAAGGAGTCTAGGACTCAACTTTCGTCCCATTTAAGACTCATCAGCTGCATGTACTTGCTCTGGTGTTTCACGCAAAGGATACTGGGTTCGCGCCTCAGGGGGAACAACATCACTCAATGGAGTGCGAATACATTTAACCAACGAGTCCCAATTAGGACAGAATGTGCGTTCTGAATTCCTCTGCTAGTCGCTTAGACCAAAATAACCATTCCTAAGTAACTGGAAATTTTCACCACCAGCGAAATCAAAGATAACTTAATAAAACTATACAAACTGTGTCAAGAATTCATGTAACTGCCCTGATAGGCGACTGAGCAACCATCTGTGCTCACATCGTAAAAGGGAACAGAACAAATATACGATGATTAATTCAGGGTTCGGAGTTATAAAAGCAATTAGGAGTTATTACGTCCTCATTGCTACCTTAGATTTTTCGCTATATTAACAAAGTTATGTGTTGTTTTAATGTGTGTAACACATCTCTCAACTACCTCGCTTAACTCAGACTGACAACTTAGTCAACTGAAGCATATAACTTTGCCAGATCGCTACTCTTAACTTCAAAAGCTCTCCTTCTGTAGTTTGACTCCATGAAAACAGTGACAGCGATGTCTACAATCTGTAGTCTTCTGGTGTCATTCACATTCAATGGTCGTTTCTCATAGCTTCAATATAGTGTAAAGTGAATTTTGTAGTATGCACGTCACTGGGAAAGAAACTAAATGTTCCACCAGTTCTATAGCTACTGAAAGTTAAAGAATGGCAGCAGGGTTTACTTAATTTGCACAAAAAATCGCAGGACAATACTAAAAGAAGCAAATGGTATTTTTCATTGAGACAAATAACTAAAATTTTGAATAATTTTTGTATATTTAAATGCGACATTGTCAATTTGATTAGTCTTGCTTCCCTGCACTGTAATGATGGTCATGTTCAGTTTTTGTGGGCTTGATACTTGAAAAATTATTTTTCCTGTGTAAATGTGCAAATCGTGCCACAATACATTGTAATGATCAGGGAGACTAGTATCCACTTTACTGACAATAAACCAGGATGATAAAAATTTATTTTGGTAAATGTAAAACTGTTAAAATTTATGAGAGTATCCTGAACCTATGTGGTGTATTCACTCCTTGAAGTACTTGTGAACTATAGAAGTGAGACTCTCACTTAGCGAAAATTTATTTATTCCCTTCACTACTCGAATGACTATTTTTTTACTCGTTTCGATGTCTAAGATTGAAGGAATAAAGGGATTTCAGTGAACGACTTGCCTATCATCATTTACTTGTCACAAAAAGTGGTTATTTATAAGCTCTTATGCTTATCATTAACTTTAAGCTAATTAAAATTGGGTTATTTTTTCATTTAGAATTATTTTCGTGATCGTTGGAACATTTTCGATTTTATCACAGTTATAGGAAGTATTACTGATGTATTGGTTTCTGAGCTTCAGGTAAGTGACATACTTTTCTTACTATTAATAAATTATGTTGATATAAAAATAAAAACCTTCAGTAAATATTATATGATATGGTGAAATGATAACATCTCTGAACTGGCTATCATCTACCTAAAGTTCAAACCATAGGTGACTCAGTATATTGCCTAAAAGGAATTTTAGCCTGTGATTATTTGAGTGTTATGTAGTTGTTACTATTTATTGACATACTTGTTATTCTCCGTTGTTTTGTTGGATCGAACTGTTCAACCTCTATTGTCGTATGGGCTCCTATGCGGATGTCTCGATATTGTCTGAATGTCAATTATGATAATTTGGTAAGTTATGGCGAGCACAAGAATCCAGGATGCACGTTTCGTTCTATTTGGGACTCGTCAGTTGGATGTACCTGCACCCCAGTGAAATTGTTCTCACTGAGACTCGTACCCCTTATATAGCTAAGTGAAGTGAACTATCACAAAATGTATTAGGAATTCATTTCCAAAGTAGGAGTCTAAACTAACCATAGGTTATTTCTTTTCCATTTAAGAAGTTGACTAAGTGAGTCAGTATGTGCGCCCGACTTTAAAGACGGAGATAAATTATAAATATTTTGAGAAGTATTTACTTCAAACGCATCCTAATCAACAATGGACTGCGTAGTGCACAAAAACTCGGGCACCGAGTTAGTATGATTCATCGTCTAAGGTGTATTTTTACTTGTGTTATCCCAGCATAATACATTTGAAAAAATAACATAATTAACAAATATTTTGTATTTATTCCTCAACGTTTCGATCTTGCTAGGAAGATTCTTCTCAAAAGTATGAAACAGACATTAGGTTTTCAGATTAATATTTAAGTTTAGCTACAGAAGGTGACCTTTACGATCATGCAATTATATCGTGATATAGAACAAAGATCAATAGAATGTAGGTGAGTGAATAAGCAAATTGGTCATAGAGACTTTTTGGCGGTTGTGCAAATAAGGTGGAACAGAAATAAGGTGGGGAAATTTAGTTCGACTATATGACGACGCCATATGCCGTGATTCACAATGGAAACCTCAGTGACTCCTTTGAAGTGAAAACAGAAAGAAGTAAGACAAGGCTGCATACTATCACCAACGATCTTCCTGATTGTGGTCGACTAGATCAAGCAGCAAACAGTGAGGAGCGATAAGATGGGCATACACTGGCTGGACCTATGAAAAGAGCCTGGAAGATTTGGATTTCGCCAATGATGATTTATGTCTAATGTCGCACAAACTTGAAGATCTACCGGCGAAAACTAAGAAGAGGCAGGGCAATGAAGACGGGACATCAAGTGAAGGTAGAGAAGACAGAGGTGATGATGACACCCGACCAACGCAACAAACAACAACAAGCTGCAATCACCATTCATAGGAGAAACTTAAAGGAAGTAGCCCCTTTCATTCATCTAGGCAGGCAGCATAGTTTCAACTACAGACAACACAGGCACAAATGAGGATGTCAAAGCAGCTAGGATTGGAAAGACACCAAGACAGGCTTTCCTCCATTAATCTGAAATAATCAGTGTGGAGATCTACTGCACCCACTCAGCACAAAGAACAAGATCCGGATTTTTAACACCAACATCAGTCAAGTCAGTGCTGCTTTATGGTTCAGAAAGTTGGCGCGTAGCAAAAAGTACTCCCAACAAACTATAGACATTCATCAACAGCTGCCTACGCTGGCTCGACACTGAAGATTGGATGACCAGACTAATAAGAATAAGCAACAAAGAAGTGTGGCTGGCTGGCAACGAACCAACCAAGAACCTATCACTTAACAAATATAGAGGAGAAGAAAGTGGAGATGAACTGGATTGGACATAGACTGTGCAAACTATTAGGGGACATCGCGCGCCAGGCCGTCGAGTGGAATCCAAAAGGGAAACGACGATTTGGATGTCCAAGGCGAGGTTAACATGGAGGAGATCATATGAAGAAGAAATGAAAGCTTGTGGGCAGTTGTGGTGCCAGGTTAAAAAGACTGAGGAGAACAGAGTGCACTGGAGGCGTGCTACTGAAGCCCTATGTTCCACTAGGAACCCAAGGGGAAGGAAACAATAATATAATAAAAGAGTACAATGGGGCTGTGCGTCATCAAGGGTGAAAAAGAACAAATTACTACATTGAAAAGATGAATATTGGAACTTTAAATAATATATGATAATGAGTAATAATGATAATAATAGTGATAACGATAAAAGTACTTTTGATAACAGTTGAAGTATGAACGATAACAAAATGGATTGTGTAATGTATAGAATGGTTCATAGAATGTATATAACTCAGAAAGGAGCGTAGAACTCACCCTTGTTGACAGCCTTATTGTACTCCATAGTCGAACTAAATTTCCCCACCTTATTTCTGTTCCACCTTATTTGCACAACCGCCAAAAAGTCTCTATGACCAATTTGCTTATTCACTCACCTACATTCTATTGATCTTTGTTCTATATCACGATATAATTGCATGATCGTAAAGGTCACCTTCTGTAGCTAGACTTAAATATTAATCTGAAAACTTAATGTCTGTTTCATACTTTTGAGAAGAATCTTCCTAGCAAGATCGAAACGTTGAGGAATAAATACAAAATATTTGTTAATTATGTTATTTTTTCAAATGTATTACGCTGGGATAACACAAGTAAAAATACACCTTAGACGATTAATCATTTACTTCATTTTATTTCCATTACAAATTCCTGAAAGCAATCGATAGTCTGCGTAATTCAGTAGTTCAATTTTACAAGAAAAATTTGGTTCATCAAACATTTTGTTGGTTCACAAAATGGCATTACACTGATAAGTTCATTTGTTATTAATATATATCTTTCTGCATCCTTGCATCCATCTGTAATTAACTCAAAAGATCAGAATTTTTGTATAACCACAGTATTATTTCGCTTCGTTATTTAATACCGATATTGTTTCCCCTATAATCATTCAGTGAACCTATACAGAAGGTGGCTGTTCACTCGTAAAGAAGCACAAATCTTATCAAAAAGTGACGTTACCGGAACATAATTCACTAAACTAATTAAACTTGGTGTTTGAATTAATCGACATAATATGAAAAGTGTTTAGTTATTGAGAATCATTAGTTTCACTCATTCTGGATTAAAGAATCAGTCCATTATTAACGCACAAGAGAACCCATACTTGTCATAATGACATAAACACAATCAAGCAAATTGAATTCAGTGACCCTCAAAATTATTACCTTGATCAGTTTAGTTGTAAGTACTCATGGAGAAAATATATTAAAACAACGACGCCTCCTTGTTATACCTGATTGAAATGAACGACTCCTATTGGCATATGGGTTCCTGTTTAGATAGCTCTCTGGAGTATGAAGTGATGGGTACTATGTTGGACTGTCAATGGGAACACCATGACTCATTGGGATGCAAGTACATCCACCTGACGAGCCTGTCACAGTCTACGTTTCTGCCTACAGAACCGGCTGACATACATTACTGTATAGTGCTCATTAGTGACATTTTTCCAGATAGATATCACGAAGTTCTAGTGAAGTGCCGTGACCTGTGGAGTCGACCATTTGGAAGGGAAGTGGATGTCATCTGAAGGCTTTGGGTGATAGTCGCAATATAGCATGAATAGAAAGATGTTAGAAACTGTAAACCATTGAACTCCTACCCAGTGGCTGAATGTTTAACGCGTTCACCGTGAAACCCAAAAGTCCTGAGTTTGATCCCTAACCGAGTTGTGGGTGCGTACTTTTGAAGAGTTCCATACTAGGACGTAACAGCTGTTTAGTGCTCCTACACTTTCAGTGGTTCCCCAAATGATAAATACCACCTCTAGATAATTTATTTGTCTAAAATCTTTTCTGTTTTCTTTCTTAAAATTTTAGGAATCAGCATTTTTAAGTTTAGGATTTCTACGACTTTTTCGTGCAGCACGTCTAATCAAACTATTACGTCAGGGCTACAGTATACGTATTATTCTCTGGACATTTATTCAGTCAATTAAAGCTCTACCATATGTTTGTCTACTGATAACAATGTTATTTTTCATCTACTGTATTATTGGCATGCAGGTAAGGCAGTGATTTATTTTCCTTTGATTTTTGAGGATTTCACTGAGTTGTAATTATTATCTATTTAAAAGCAACCCCATTTTTTTCTTCTCAACTTCAGTAATGCACGAAATCAAGTAGACTGCCATTCTAGCAGACTATCAGTTAAATTAGTCTCGGTACACAGTAAAACGATGGAGAGCATCAGCAATTACAGACAGTACTCAATAATTAGCTAAACCGGAAAAGTTTCAACCTCTGAAGGCTATCCTATCTTTATGAAGTCAAATAAAATTTATTTCAGAATTTTCCTTACTCAATATTTCACTCCAGCTAAAACAAACTACTATGCACGAAAAATGTGAATTGGTGAGTGAGTGAGTGAGTGAGTGAGTGAGTGAGTGAGTGAGTGAGTGAGTGAGTGAGTGAGTGAGTGAGTGAGTGAGTGAGTGAGTGAGTGAGTGAGTGAGTGAGTGAGTGAGTGAGTGAGTGAGTGAGTGAGTGAGTGAGTGAGTGAGTGAGTGAGTGAGTGAGTGAGTGAGTGAGTGAGTGAGTGAGTGAGTGAGTGAGTGAGTGAGTGAGTGAGTGAGTGAGTGAGTGAGTGAGTGAGTGAGTGAGTTGAAGACTGAATACGTATAAAAATTTAGGAGAATTTCAACACTTCCCGTCATCATTTGGAATAGGCACTGTATCACAAACTAGATCTTTTGTGAAGCTTCTCAATACTCTAGTGATACACAAAAGAAAACATTCTTCAATAGGTATCTTGATAAAAAGTTTACTTTTAATGAATATATTTAGATGGAGATACAGTGTAGTCCCACTGTAAATAACTATCTATCATAAACTTTTATACTTTCTAACTTTTTTATCGTAGTTCATTATTTAAAAAACAAAAAATAAATTGTTCATTTGAGTGAGCAGAATTCATAAATAAGGTTTTCAACTTACTCTTATACTTATACGTTTTTTTAATTAAATCGCCATAAATCTAAAAAACACGACATGCTCATCTCTAAATCAAACGTTAGCTAAATTAGAAACAGCTGGCAAAAGATCATGATCTTCGTACAAATTTGTTGCATCGATCAACTGAGTTTCTTTGTCAAGATTAGACAAGACAGTAAGAGAATGCTGTAAAGTTTCATCGAAGAATTATTACATCAAGCAGAATAGAAGTCAAAAGTTACTAGTAGTCAACAACTTGAGAAGTTAGAAACCCCACAGGCTGCTATGTTGTAATTCATCACTCAGATCAGAGTGATCTAAACATTGGAAGGCCATTCCTCTCATTCCGGCCATCACTCAAAGCCGAATTGGTTGACTTGTATTGACCGGTATACTTCAAATAGAAGGAAAAATTTGCAAAGGGTTTACAAAATGCATGGTCCACGATGATATTTCTCATAGCTTAGTTTTTCAGCACTCTAACCGTGGTGTCAACAGGGTTTCGGCTAAAAATCATTCAACCAGGATCACGAGGTGTGATCTTTGACACGAAAGTGTTTGAACTAGCTAAAGATACTACTATCCAACAACCTGAGTAGTTAGACACAACTGAGACGGACCCGTTGAACTTTGCCAGTCAGATCAGAGTGATTACATCTTGTGATCTCAGTTGAGTAGTTTCCAGCCGAAACGCTGTTCATACCACGGTTGGGCAGCTGAGAAATCACTCAGCTGTGATAAATATCAATTTGCAAAAGCATCTAAACACTATTATTCGTATACTGGACATTAAAAACTAGTTAATTATCACTGTGATTACTGGATAAAAGTCAAATGGATATTAGTAAGGATTGACAAAATAAACAGCATGCTTAAATGCAGAATAATAATTTGCAGTTGGTTAGATCAGTAATGCATCCCGCTATGTAAACTAGATAGACATTTTGAAATTCACCAACACTTCAATTTGACATTTGCTTTGAGTGGATTGTTTTCCTCAACCTAACTGTAGTTTCCCAGGCTTATTACTAGTTGGTCAGCATCATGGTTTGTGACATTACGCACAAAATTATAGTTAAAACTTCAACAGCTATGCCTAGTTGTTGCAAACAAAGTCCGCTGTTTAGGCTTGGTTCTAAGCAGCTGAGATCACCAGGTATTTAAATTTATATAAAGTAGCTACTGAAATAGTTTCTGAGTCTTTTATTTTGTGCAGTAGTACATTTCATCAGCTTATGACCATCAGTTAAAGACTACAACCTAATTATTATCATTATCCTTCCGTTGGGTTCCTAGTGGAACATAAGGCTTCAGTAGCACATAACAATTTCACTCTCTTCTCTGCAGTCTTTTTAACTTGGCTCCACTACTGTCCAGAAACTTTCATTTCTTCCTCATACGATCTCTTCCATGTCACCCTCACCTCGGACGCCCAACTCGTCGTTTCCCATTTGGGTTCCACTCGATGGCCTGGCCTGGTGTGTGATCTTTCAAAATGGTCTTCTCGGTGTATGCAAGATCCATTTCCACTTACTTCTCGTGTATATTTGTTGGGCGATGGGTTCTTGGTTGGTTAGTGGCCTGCCAGTCAAAGTTCCTTAAGGCTTATTGGTAAAGGCATTCGCGAAGCCAATTGACTGATGTGTCTTCTCTCGATGAACGCGGAAGTAAACATAGAGACATCGAATGTCCACACCATGTATGAACCACAACCTAAGAGTTTGGTTAATTAACTATTTAGTTGTTTACACAAACCCTGTTTACATACTTAGGTTATCTGAAAAGTACTCAACCGTAAGAAATATTGACACGGATTGCAAAATTTATTTTCAACTTGTAATTTTCGTGCCACATTTAACTTATTGTTGACAAAATGTTGTTAAAATGTTAATTTCAAGCAATTTATCATATATTTACTATAGTGAAACTGAATCTTTCACTACCAAAATCAGTACCCTTAAAACTTTGGTTCTACAGAAATCTAACACAGACATAACTCTGTTGTATTTAACTAGCCTAAAGTATTCGCAGAATTTTTCATCTCAAAGTGTTATCACCAATTTTGACATAAAATTTTCGACACTGAAATCAGAGGCTTTTCGTGACTTTCACTTTACAGATATTTGTATGCTACAAGCCGTTGATTGCATGCAAGCTTCAAATTAATTTTAACTTAGACACTAAAAAATGTGGGGTGATAAATAAACGTTTGATTTAAAAAAGTTACACTGGTACATCTAAGTGTATGTAGTAATCGATGGCAAAATAGAGTACTCATTGTTTCCACTTAGCTAATTTACTCAAGAGATGTAGCTATTTTCGATTATTTTTACACTGTCTAGTTTCACTAGTCGATGTCAAGTAGCAAATATTGGAAAAAAATTAATTTTTACTGAACGCTAGTACTTTGCTTATTGCACAATTTGTTTGGTACATGAATCGACCACAAGTGGCTAACAAATTTAGCTATCTAGACTTTATTGTTCAACGTTGACCAGAGTCCATAGTCCACGAAAAAAACTCTTCCCTGACGAACTTGTTCTCTTTTCATTTCCTACTGGGTATATTTAGGTCGAAGTTGGTTGATGACTCTTGTAATTTGGCTATTAAGTGATGCAAAACTGAAGAGCTCGCTATTTTTGTACTAGGTGTTGGGAATTAACCAGCAGAAACCCCTAATTGACTTGGGTTTCGCGTTTTTTAACATTCCTCAGTAAGGTTTATTGGTCAGTGCTGACCACTTAGCACTGACTATACATGTACGTTGATTTCCCAGTAATGACCAACTCCTGCACACAGTCCAGTCGTTACGGGAGTCAATTACGGCCTGAATAACTTAGTGAGGTCTATGTCCTCAGTAGTGAATGATGTAGGTTGGGATCATCGCGGGAAACTAGTTTCCACATAGTTGCAGATACACCCTCCTGAGGAGTCTAAATATACACAAAACCCAGGGGGACAGGCTTCTTGTCAATTGAGTCATATTATCTAACACCAAAATGTTTCATGTTAAATAGGCAAACGTATTGGAAAAGTAATCCTCACCGTAGATGTTGTACATCTTAGCATTCACCAGTGATGTTTACTAAAACACCATTATTAAAAAGTTGAATTTCATTGTGAATCTACTACTGGAAAGTACAAGGAGGGACGAAACCATTTAATGAGAATAACATTTTAAAAGCCATCAGTACACAAACACAACCAGTTTATCAACAGGATTATGAGTTGTGACCACAATTTTCTACATACTCTTTAAAGTAATGACTCAATTATCCATCAGCATATCTGTTATTTATGTGATATAGGAAGCGTTTAAACAGGCTATCTAGGGAGATAAACGTAAATTTGCAGTCACTGTCACAACTATCATGGTTTTGTAACTTGAGTAAAACAACTCATATACCTAGAAATATAATTATATGCCTGTCCAGTAAATATCTTACCACTGAGTCAGGTATTATTACCATTATGACTTCATATTGCACCTGACTGAAATCTTATTTGATCTATTTTAGTTAAATGAAATCCAGAGTAGAATAGTTGGGTATTCACTTCTCCTACTGCAATACTGAGTAGCGTAGGTTTCGAATCTCTTAGGAGACAACAGTTCTCCAGGTTCTAGATACACCTTAATGAAAAGCATTGATAGGCAAGAAACCTAGATTACATAAGACATTTTACCGGTCACTGCCAACTATCTAGCATCAAACTAACATGTCCTCTGATATCTCTGTCTATTTTTAGTGCTTTTGGTGGAATTCTGTCTGTTCCTGCTGGTTTTTCGGATTTCAGTAACTTTATGTCTTTCAGGACTTCTGCTTTTGTTGGAGGACTTGTGTTAACTGGTAGTTCTTCCGGCGCTTGTGGTATTTCTGTACGAGTTGCGCGTGGTGGTGGTCGATTCAAGAGTTTTTTGAAGTGGTCAACCCACCGTTTTCTTTGTTTCTCCTCTTTGGCGGTGACTAAGTTTCCTTCAGTATCTTTTAATGGTTTCATCTGTGTTGATCTCTATCCAGATAGTAACCTGATTATTTGGTATAATATCGTCAGGTCTCTGTCTCTTCTACCTG